GTGGTAGAGCACCTGCCTAGAATCCCCCAGTGAGGGGCTGGGGTGTGGCTCAGTGGTAGAGCACCTGCCTAGAATCCCCCAGTGAGGGGCTGGGGGTGTGACTCAGTGGTAGAGCCCCTGCCTAGAATCCCCCAGTGAGGGGCTGGGGTGTGGCTCAGTGGTAGAGTCCCTGCCTAGAATCCCCCAGTGAGGGGCTGGGGTGTGGCTCAGTGGTAGAGTGCTTTCCTAACATGCACAAAGCCCCGGGCTTCATCCCTAGAATGGTAAAAACAAAAACAATCTTATGGAGGACATAAGACTTTTCCCTTTTGCCGTGAACAGTTGAGGCTCAAGGTCACATGACCAACCAGCCCTCTAGATTCCAAACATCTTCAGAGCCGCCTCTTCACCTGGGGTGACAAGCAAGAACTCACGGGGAGTGACATGTGACTACATTCCCCAGCTAGGGTCAGATCGGTCCTGAGAGCAGGCATGGAAGAGGTCGTCCCACGCTCCCCTTTCAGCCATGGCGTGCCCAGTAGCCATGTTTCCATGCATAGTGTGAGCTGGTAACATTTGCCTTTAAAAATGTATGTATGCGTAGATGCACATATGTGTGTGCATGTACATGTGTGTGTGCAGACCTATAGAGGCCAGAGGCCAATCTTGGGTGTCATCCTCAAGTGTGCCATGCACCTCCTTCAAGATAAGGGTCTTTGAAAAAATTACACTTTAAGTTGAGTGTGTGTGTGTGTGAGCACACAGGCATGCACAGGTGTGCATATTCACACAAGTGCACGCACGCTGCAGTTCACGTGGAAGGGTCAGAGGACAACCTGTTCTCTCTCTGAAGCCTGTGGGTCCTAGCAATAGAACTCAGGTCATCAGGCTTGGCAGCAGGCATTTTTACCTGCTGAGCATCATCTCTCTGGCTTTCTCACCAGCCTGGAGCTCACCAAGTAATCTGGACTAGCTGGCTGGCAAGCCCCAGAGACCCACCTGCCTCTGCCTCCCTGGCACTGAGATTCCAAGCACACACCACCATACCTAGATTTTTTTTAAAAGTGGGTTCTGAGGATTGAAGTTGGATTCGCAGAGTCGCAAGACAGAGTTTTTCCCACTGAGGAGTCTTCTTGGCCCATTTTCCCGCTCTAGATTAAAGCCCATATCCTCTATCACATCCAGCATTCTATTCAAAAGCAGGACCTCCTCTGTCTCACAAGGAGGTCATAGAATGATTGTGGCCACACTCCATGGTCCTCCTGTTACCCAGTGGTAAAAACAGAACACACAGAGAGAAGGCTCACCTCAGTGGCCTCCTAGCACCGAGGGCGAGCAGCTGAGACTCCTGGGCCCCCACACTCGCTTCCTCAGGGAGGGAGGATTAGTCCCCGGACCTTGCCAGACCTCAGACTAAATTTATTCCCTTCTTCCTACAGCTTCATCACCAAGGGGGGCCACAAGATCTGTAGTGACCCCAAGTTGCCATGGGTCCAGAGGCACATGCAGAACCTGGATGCCAAGAGAAAGCAGCCTCCTGCAGGTGCCAAGGCACGGGGCGCCAAGTTTTCCGTCCAGACACACCACGGCAACAGCACTCAGGTTTAATCGCCTCTCCTCTGTCCCTGAACTTGGACGCTGGTCTTGGGGCGTGGCACACAGCTGGGATGAGGCCCGAGTTCATTTTCCCATTCTCAGCATTTCCTTGGGGGAATGTGTTTATTCTGTGAGAACCCGGGGGAGCTCCAAGCGTGCCAGAGTTCTGGTGTTTCCTGTGCTGCGTGAGAAGGTTCCAGAAGGATGGCATTGGTCATTCTGCCTTCTCCTCTTGTGTGGCTTGAAGAGCCCAGGTGCATAAGACTGGAGCACCTGTGGGTGTGCCTTGTTTGCGGCTGGCTTAGCTGCGGTCCTTGTCTTGGGGTGGGGCCCAAGGGCTGTCTGTCTGTCCACCTATGGGTGTCTGTCTGTCCATCTGTGGGTGAAGCTCCATCAACAGTAGTAATTCCCAAGCCTGTTGGGGGTACTCCAGGCTGGTCCCACCTCCAGAACTTTGAACAAATAAAAACTCTACTGAAATGGAGAACTCGATGGCATCATTTTTAAACTCATCAGAATTTATAAAGAGGGAGGTGAAGGGGGCTGGGAATGCAGCCCGGTTGGTGAGGTACTTGCCCAGTGTGCACATGACGCTGGGTTTCAACCACAGCACTGCAAAAAAACATGCATGATGATGCTTACCTGTAATCCTAGCACCCAGGCAAGAAGATGAGAATTTCAGGGTTAGCTAGGCATGGTGGTGCACGCCTTTAATCCCGGAACTTGGAGGCAGAAGCAGGAGGATCTCTGAATTCGAGGCCAGCATGATCTACATAATGAGCTCCAGGAAAGCCAGGGTTACAATAGAGAGCCCTCAACCCTCCTCCCCGCAAGAAGAAGTTCAAGGCTATCCTTAGCTGCATAGTTAATTTGAGGCTAGCCTGGGCTACATGGGACTTTGTCAGGGAAGGAGGAAGGAAATGGAGGGAAGAGGAGGAAAAGGGGAAAGGCATACAGCTGAGCATGATGGCACACACCTATAAACCCAGCACTCAGGAGTCTGAGGCAGGAGGATCATGAGTTCTAGACCAGCCTGGGCTACAAAGCAAGACCTTACCTAATGTATATATAGTTTTAATTTTTAAAAGTATCTACAGAGGCAGGTGGATCTCTATGAGTCTGAGGCCAGCCTGGTTTACAGAGTGAGTTCCAGGACAGCCAGGACTGTACAGAGAAACTCTGTCTTGAAAAACCAAGAAACAGTACCTAAAGGCCGGGATGCGGGCTCAGCCTAGGGAGTTTGATTCCTTCATGAACATATAATTTCAGGACGTTCCTCTTCGTGATACGGCTTGCTCCTTGCTGCTGTGGCGGACAAGAAGTTTCTGTGACTTTAACATTGGGCTCTCCCTACACTGTGGTGAAGGGAAGTTAGGGTGGGAACCAATGGAAGAGAGTGACCCCAAGGTTTCCGTACTATGTGAGATACAGTGGGGTACATCAAGAGCATAGACGTGGTCACTGTTCTCGATAAGCCAAGTAAAATGCGACTTCTGTTGTGGTGGCTGTCCCCTGCCTGTCCCCAACTCTCTGCAGAGCGTGACTGTCCATGAGGAAAGGAGGAGTGCTCCAGAGAGGCTCCTGGGCAACATAGACAGAGGGGAGGGGATGAGAGCCCAGTGCATCCTGCCAAGGTCTTGGCCTCCCTTGAGAACCCTGGAGTAAAGAACAGAAGGGCTTGAGATGCAGCTCTATGGGAGAGCCCCTGCCCAAAATCCCCCAGTGAGGGGCTGGGGTGTGACTCAGTGGTAGAGCACCTGCCTAGAATCCCCCAGTGAGGGGTTGGGGGTGTGGCTCAGTGGTAGAGCACCTGCCTAGAATCCCCATTGAGGGGCTGGGGGTGTGGCTCAGTGGTAGAGCACCTGCCTAGAATCCCCCAGTGAGGGGCTGG